GACATCGCCCAGGGCGTCCACCTGGACCGCAGCGAGGAGGACATCGGTGCTGGTGACCAGGTGAGCGTCACCCTGGGGGCTGCAGGGACCCCGCAGCAGCCTCAGGGGCCTCACTGTGCTCTCCCTCACCCCAGGGACTGATGTTTGGCTACGCCACGGACGAGACGGAGGAGTGCATGCCCCTCACCATCGTGCTGGCCCACAAGCTCAACGCCAAGCTGGCCGAGCTGCGCCGCTCCGGGGCCCTGCCCTGGCTGCGCCCCGACTCCAAGACACAGGTGAGGGGCTGGGGGGGTCCCCCAAACCCCTCCTGTGGTTCCCAGGCTCACCAGTGTATCCCTCAGCCTGCTGGTTGCCCCCGCATCCCACTGGTTTGCACCTCAGCTGGTTGGTTTTGTGCTCCCACCTCACTGATGTTCCCCCCATCCTCACTGGTGTCCCCCCCCATTCTCACTGTCATCCCCTCATCCTCACTGGTGTCATCACCCCCTGCTGGTGTCCTCCCACTAGTATCCCCCCATCCCACTCTTGCCCCCCTCCTCACTGGTGTGCCCCCCTCCCCCTTTCCCACTCAGTTGTGTCCCTTCCTATTCCTGTTGGTGTCCCCTCCCATATCCCCTGGTTTCCCCTCCATCCCTGCTGCTGTCCCCCATCCCACTCACTGGTGTCCCCCCCTGCCACTCTCTGGTGTCCCCTCTGTCCTTGTTCATTTTCACTCCTATTGCTGTCTTTTCCCCCTATTCCACTCACTGGTGTCCTCCCCCATATCTGCTGCTGTCCCTGCCATTCTCACTGGTTTCCCTCCCATTCCACTCACTGGTGTGTGTCCCCATGTCACTGGTATGTCCCCCTTCCCACAGCTGTCCCCTCCCCTCCCACTGGCGACCCTCCTTCCCCTCTGTTTTTCCACCCCCATTCCATTGATGTCCCCCCCATCCTCACTAGTTTTCCCCTCCCATCCCCACTGGTGTCCCCCCATCTCCTTGGTGTTTTCATACCCACTGGTGTCCCCCCAACTCCCATCATGGTGTTCCCCATCTCACTGGCGTCCCCTGTGCCCCAGGTGACAGTGCAGTACCTGCAGGACCGCGGGGCCGTGCTGCCCATCCGTGTCCACACCATCGTCATCTCGGTGCAGCACGACGAGGACGTGTCCCTGGATGAAATGCGTGATGCCCTCAAGGAGAAGGTCATCAAGGCCGTGGTGCCACCCAAGTACCTGGATGATGACACCATCTACCACCTCCAGCCCAGTGGCCGCTTCGTCATCGGTGGCCCCCAGGTAGGGTGGCACCTGGGGGGCTTGGCTGGAGAAACCACCAGGGTGGTGATGGTGACACCAGGGTGATGATCATAGAATCATGGGATGGTTTGGGTTGGAAAGGACCTTCAAAATCATCTATATCCAATCCCCCTGCATGGGCAGGGACACCTCCCACCAGCCCAGATTGCTCCAAGCCCCATCCAACCTGCCCTTCAACACCCCCAGGGATGGGGCAGCCACAGCTGCCCTGGGCAACCTGGGCCAGGCTCTCACCACCCTCACAGCCAAGAATTCCCTCCTCATCTCCACCCTCCATCTCCCTCTCCCAGTTTTCATCCATCCCCCTCATCCCATCCCTCCCTGCCCTTGTCCCAGGTCCCTCCCCAGCTTTCCTGGAGCCCCTTCAGGCACTGGCAGGTTCTCCCAGGTTGATGGTGCCACCATGGCGACAGTGGGGGGCCCCACAGTGGTGACAGTGCCATCGATTGACCCCGGGGTGGTGGCCTTGTCCCCTGTAGGGTGACGCCGGGCTGACGGGCAGGAAGATCATCGTGGACACCTACGGGGGCTGGGGGGCCCATGGGGGCGGCGCCTTCTCGGGCAAGGACTACACCAAGGTGGACCGCTCGGCCGCCTACGCCGCGCGCTGGGTGGCCAAGTCCCTGGTCAAGGCCGGGCTGTGCCGGCGGGTGCTGGTGCAGGTGGGTGCAGGAGGGTCTCCCCTTCCCCGTTCTTGTAGGGGGGTTCATTTTTCAGCCTCAATGTGTGTGTGTGTTCCCTGCCCCCCCACAAAGGTCTCCTACGCCATCGGGGTGTCCCACCCGTTGTCCATCTCCATCTTCCACTACGGGACCTCCCAGAAGAGCGAGCGGGAGTTGTTGGAGATCGTCAAGAAGAACTTTGACCTTCGCCCTGGGGTGATCGTCAGGTAAGGGGTGACACGGGAGGGGCACAAAGGACGTGGGGGGCTCGGGGGGGGGCACCCTGGGGCGGTTCAACTTTTCCAGCTGGGAGAGCTGCAGGAGAAGCACTTGGGGGTGAGTATCCAACACGGGGGGCTTCTCTGGGGTTGCGAGTGGAGAAGTTTCAAAACCTCCCCCCTCCAGGGCAGGAAGGAGGGGGGGATGAGTGTGGAGCTGATGCTGGTTTTACTGGGTTGGGAAAACGTGTTATTCCAAGGGGGGTGAAATTGTCCCCCATTAGGGCACTTGGGGCTTCTCTGGGATTTGGGAGGGGGAAGCACCAACTGCCCCTCCCC